TGAAACCAGATTTCCCCACCTTACAAATCTGGATTGTCTACATCTTGATCCTAGCAATGAGTTACTACACTGAGCTAAACTTACTTACCCTGAGCTTCTACAAAAGTTGGAAGCATGTTTTAATTATCTCTGGGTCCCTATCCCAGTACCTGCAACACACAGGTACATTATAAAGAATGCTGCGTGATTGAATGAATGACTACAAACAATAGACAATCAAAAGAGCCACCATCTATCTCTTTGTAGAAAAGTTGTAAAACAGGAAATATCACTTGGCTAAAGAGGGCTGAACTCATCCTATTGTAAGGAACCCTCTCCTGAGATAAACACATAATATATAAAGAAAAGACTATGTGCACCTTTAGGAAATATTCAGTGGTGAAGGTAGCCCAAATGACTACCTTTCCTCTTAATGTTGCATCATGTGCATACATCTCTTTGTTTGGCCACTGAAACTTCCTGGAATAAGGAGGCTGCCACGACAAACCTTGTGACAACTAATTAGGGATCATAAAGCTCATAGTCATCAGAAGAGTAATCCAGGCTCCCCCCCCCATATTCTGATATTTACTTTAATGATAATTCTAAGGCTTGGATTTCTATATCAAAGATTAGTTAGAGAGAGAGAGAGAAAAGGAGGCAAACTTAGTAATGGGAGAGCTCTGAAAGTGAAAACAATAAATTTCATACTAATGACTTTGTGCTCAGTAAGTAGATAAAAGGCAGGCAAACAGGCATTTTCTAAAAGCTTTTTCTTTTATCAAAATAACTAAAATGTCAATAAAAAGTTACCCTTAAAAGAATAAGCTTCAGATATTTGAAAAACTGTGCTGTGAAACACTTTGTTTTCTGATATTGTGAATTAAACAGCAAGTGTGTGTATGGGTGGGGAAATCAGACATGTGCATAACTTGCTTAGAAACCAAGCCCAGTGCCCTCCATTGAGAAAGTTTCTTGCAGGAGGACTGTTGTCCCCAGTCTAATATCTTCAGTTGTTGAGATTAACATATCCTACTCTACACTGAACCTTCTGATGTTTTCAAACTTTGGATCAATTCATTTTCCCTTCCTATTTTTTCCATCGTAACTTTGTACTGAAGCTGTCAAACTTTCCAGGTACATGTTTGTTGGCATAGGAAACTCTGTTTGTTGAGGGAGGAGTGGTTATTTTTGGCAGGTTGGGGGAGGAGCAATTAAATCTAATAGGTATATTGTACATTAAACACTTGGGCTTTTCCAATCTTTATTATAAATTCCCTTCTCTATCCTGATAACATTTTAAACACAGAAAAGAAGGTGCTTCTAGAAATCTGTCAAAGCCTTATGGGACCTAATGAGGGTCACAAAGAGTAAGGTCACTAATTTTCCAACTTATCCACAGTCATATTCTTGAGATGAGAAGACATCCATGCTTAAGATATTGCAAAGATTTCTCAAAATTATCCATGATACTTATTCAGAAGTGTAGGTCACTCTTATGTAAAAGAAGATAAGTTTTTCCCTGCCTTTAATTCTACATTATAAAGATCACACTTATATATGTAGGAAAAGTACTTTGGGTGCTCTATGAATTTTTATAGACAACTAAATAGAAAAGAAAAAAGGAACAGATTAAGTTTTGCCAATGAGTCAGTCAAGGTTAGAGAGAAAGCAACAGATGTAGTGTTTGATGAAAAAATATAGTCCAAATACAATGACGAAGAAGATGGACAAGGAGAAGACGATGGAGGAGGAGGAGAAAAAGATGGAGGGGGAGGGGGAGGAGGAGAAGGAGAAGGAGGAAGAGAAGAAGAAGAGGAAGATGAAGAAGAAGACAACTAGGGAACCTTGCTAGATGTTTCTGATCCTTCCTAGGAGGACCCAAGAACACCTATAGGTGTTAAGGATGACTGAATTGTGATTTAATGAGAATTATTTCATGGCAGTTTTGAACCCAAGTCCTAATTATTCCAAGTTCTCTAGAGCCAAATTAACAGTCTTTAACTGTGTTAAAGACTAATACTCATCCTAGAATCTTTGTCTTTTATCCCAGTCAGGCCTGTGTTGAAAACAGAATTTGTTTTCACTTCCTGCTCTCAACTGACATTGCTGTGCAGCTGTGCAACAGCTGTTGAGTTCCACCCCACAAGTAGCAGCTTTTCAGTGATTGGCAAACTGGTATACATCTGGAATGAGATGTTCAAATGACCTCAGGACCCCATAGAATAAATCAAAACATTGAAGTAATAACTTGGATGAGCTCGTTCTGACGTAACTCAATTGCTGAAAATTATTTAATGTTCATTTTTTAGTTGAGTGATCCATCTCATCAAAGCACAATGAAACAGGGAATAGTCTTCCATTTAACGTTTAAAAAGGGTGGGGTCAGAAAAAGTGATTTCAACAAGTAAACTGGAATGTGACCTCAGAACTGTAGAGTTCTGGGACCCCAGGAGTTTCTTTGTGAGACATTTCCAAAGGCTTTACATTTGGGCATTAGCTCAGAATAGTGGGAAGCCAATGTTACTGAGTGTGTGTACGCGTGTGTGTGTGTGGGGGGAGGAGTGGTTATTTTTGGCAGGTTGGGGGAGGAGCAATTAAATCTAATAGGTATATTGTACATTAAACACTTGGGCTTTTCCAATCTTTATTATAAATTCCCTTCTCTATCCTGATAACATTTTAAACACAGAAAAGAAGGTGCTTCTAGAAATCTGTCAAAGCCTTATGGGACCTAATGAGGGTCACAAAGAGTAAGGTCACTAATTTTCCAACTTATCCACAGTCATATTCTTGAGATGAGAAGACATCCATGCTTAAGATATTGCAAAGATTTCTCAAAATTATCCATGATACTTATTCAGAAGTGTAGGTCACTCTTATGTAAAAGAAGATAAGTTTTTCCCTGCCTTTAATTCTACATTATAAAGATCACACTTATATATGTAGGAAAAGTACTTTGGGTGCTCTATGAATTTTTATAGACAACTAAATAGAAAAGAAAAAAGGAACAGATTAAGTTTTGCCAATGAGTCAGTCAAGGTTAGAGAGAAAGCAACAGATGTAGTGTTTGATGAAAAAATATAGTCCAAATACAATGACGAAGAAGATGGACAAGGAGAAGACGATGGAGGAGGAGGAGAAAAAGATGGAGGGGGAGGGGGAGGAGGAGAAGGAGAAGGAGGAAGAGAAGAAGAAGAGGAAGAGGAAGAAGAAGACAACTAGGGAACCTTGCTAGATGTTTCTGATCCTTGCTAGGAGGACCCAAGAACACCTATAGGTGTTAAGGATGACTGAATTGTGATTTAATGAGAATTATTTCATGGCAGTTTTGAACCCAAGTCCTAATTATTCCAAGTTCTCTAGAGCCAAATTAACAGTCTTTAACTGTGTTAAAGACTAATACTCATCCTAGAATCTTTGTCTTTTATCCCAGTCAGGCCTGTGTTGAAAACAGAATTTGTTTTCACTTCCTGCTCTCAACTGACATTGCTGTGCAGCTGTGCAACAGCTGTTGAGTTCCACCCCACAAGTAGCAGCTTTTCAGTGATTGGCAAACTGGTATACATCTGGAATGAGATGTTCAAATGACCTCAGGACCCCATAGAATAAATCAAAACATTGAAGTAATAACTTGGATGAGCTCGTTCTGACGTAACTCAATTGCTGAAAATTATTTAATGTTCATTTTTTAGTTGAGTGATCCATCTCATCAAAGCACAATGAAACAGGGAATAGTCTTCCATTTAACGTTTAAAAAGGGTGGGGTCAGAAAAAGTGATTTCAACAAGTAAACTGGAATGTGACCTCAGAACTGTAGAGTTCTGGGACCCCAGGAGTTTCTTTGTGAGACATTTCCAAAGGCTTTACATTTGGGCATTAGCTCAGAATAGTGGGAAGCCAATGTTACTGAGTGTGTGTACGCGTGTGTGTGTGTGGGGGGTGCTGATGGACCTCCCCAGATTCTGTGGGGCAACGTGTTGCTCCACAGCTAGTTTTCTGCAGAAACAAAGCATTAGGCTCCCAAGATTTTAACCACTTTTTAACCACTTGTTACTGTTCTTATCTCACATTCCCTTTTGGGATAAAACACTCCATTAACTCTGGTTTCTTCTGGGACCCTTTCCCATTTTGGTTCCTGTGAACTTACAGAATTATGAGTAGATAGAAGCAGTTTAGCTGTGTGTGCTCTGACACCAGGTCTAGCCACTGTGCACCAGGTAACTGCACATGGGAATATTTCTGTTCCAACTCAACCCTAGGATCACTGCGATTTGGACAGACACCTCTTGAGTCTTCACAGCACACAAGGACTGCACTGCTAGGGTCTCTTAAGTGCTAATCATGAGTGCACCAGGAGAAGGGCTGGAGGACATAATTTGTGAGAAGCTCACAAAGCCAGGATAGGTGAGAGCTAATGCCACACACTGTGTGACTCTGACTGTGTGACTTCTTGTCATATCTGTGCATCTCAATTTACTCACTAAGTGGGGGTGGTTAAAGCCAGTCCTGCTAGGTATGTGGGGTGGTGCACGCCTGTAATCCCGGCACTCAAGAAGCTGAGGTGAGAGGATTGCTGTGAGTTTGAGGCCAATCTGAACTACACAGTGAGACCCTGCCTCAAAAAAACAAAACTAAAAAATAGTCAATCTTGCCTAATGCAAAGGTTTTTGTTTTCTCATAGCCAACAGAATTTAAATGTGTGAAACTGACTGTAACCTAAGTACTATAAGAACCTCTTATTACAAGAAGGCAAAAAATTTGATCAGGACATTTGGTGACTCATTCTGACCCTCAGAGTAGGCCTGGGTCAGGTGCTACAAGCAAAATTTGACAGTCCCTTAGGACTAAGTGATTTTATCTTAAAGGTTCCAACTTCTTGAGAATGTATCCAGTTCCTTACTTTAACACCCATAATCTCCTTGGAGTTTTGTGAGTGGATTGGGGTAGGGGAGTTGGGGAGGAAGTAGGGTGAGGCATAAAGAAACTGCCCTGAGGCACTGACTCCAGCCCCCTTACAGCCTTTCCAAGCAGATGGTTGGTGTGACACTATTAACAACCGAGCCTACTGCAACTACGATGGGGGAGACTGCTGCTCTTCCACACTTTCCTCCAAGAAGGTAAGCGAGGGTGCCAGGGAAAGGGGAGAGACAGTAGCTTCAGGAATTAGGGCAGGCTCTTTGATTAGCTCTCCTTCATGGTGTATCACACTTGGTCCTTACTCAATAGCACAGAGAGAAGAATAATGAAGTATAATTGCAGATTGTAAAGGGCAGAATTAGGGGTATTGGTGTGTAGTACAGGTTCCTAGGAAATACTCATGCCTTGCATTGTCAATCCTTCAGAAAAGCGATGGCCTTTTTTTCTACTGAAAGTCTCATACCTGCTTATGATGGTCCAAAAAAACTTTGTAGTCAGGGAAAATAATGTTCTCCACCTCCTTGAAGATTGTGGATTACCAATAATCCGTAATAAAAATGCTAACTAGATATCACCCATCATTATAATTAAACAGTGTTTTTTACTATCTTATATTGTAAGCACATTTCCAATGATAGCCACAAGCCACCTAAAGCACTCTCTGGACCATGTCCTGAGCAGTAATCCTTTCTTGATATTTTTTAACCCTATTATTCTTGGCTCTATTAAATTAGCAGATAGGCTCAAGTTGAATCTGTAAAGTTGGATAGGCTGAGGTTTTGTAATAATAAGGGTAAAATCCAAGTACTACAAACATATTTAAAGTTAGTTGGCCAATTAGTTGAATCAGAAATAGCAGATGTTATTTCCTTCCCGTAGGAGTCTACACAATAAAACCACACCTACCGTGATCACCTAGATAGTGACCTGAATACTGCAACTCTTTCTTGCCAGTATTTAGTCATCAATCACTTTTTACTGGGCATTATTCTCACCACTTTTGTGAGTTAACTTATTTAATGCAGTGAACTTCGAAATTCATCATATTTCTGTTCAATTTGGCCCAATTTTGCTCTAAAAATCAATAAAACCTGAACTAGGAGAAGCAGTTCAAGAGCTTGGACCACAGGTCAGAAATCAGGCCAGCTAGTTTCTAGTCTTATTTGTGAAACCAACTGGTCAAGAAACTTATCTCTACAAAAGGAGACAGGATTACTTAGGAAGAAAGACACCTATGGTCTCCCCATCCCGCACCACAAACCTAGGATTTATCTTTAGTGAATTTCAGTGCTTGTGGTCAACATACACAAAAATACTTGCAATGGTAAAGAGACATCACCACTCTGTTGATGACTAAATCACATTTTACTTCATATGTGCAAATATGCTGGGAAGTTTTCCCAAACAACCCCACCCATTCCCCAACCCAATCGCCCAATTGCCAAGCCCATCTCTACTTAGTAGTTGGAGAAATACTGTATATGATATGCCTATGTATTTCTAGCTCTTTCAGTTGTCAATGGTCAGAGGGTAGAATCGTTGTCAGTTTTGTATTATTCTTCCAAAATACCAAATTCTCCTTGATGCTAGTTATGATCACCTAGGAAGAAGTACTTATTTTGGGGAGCAATATAAGCTGGAAGATAGCAACATTTGCTGGACCATCTCTGGCCTGGGAAAGGCATATTACATAAAAGAAAGGTGAGAGAGCTACAGACAATAGATGAGAGGTGCATTATCTTACCAAGATACAATCTTACGCTTTTGAAGATATCAAAGATGATGCTACTATTCCAGGCACAGGAGAAGAAGCTATAATTTAAGTCCAGTGACTTAGCTCAGTGACGCCATACTGCAAGGTCCTGAGTTTGATTCCTCAGAGTCTTGGCTTTTTATACAGTATGTCATCTGGCCTTCCCTGTATAGAGAAGGAATTTCATAAAGATAATAACAACAATGTAAATAATGATAGTGGAAGTATTCTTAACAGTAGTTATAGGTGGCTGGCAATGTAAGGTCTTATATCCGTCAGTTTATTCAAACCACACAGACACTGTCTAGGAGTAGTCGCTGTTGTCTTTCTCACTCTATTTACAAAGAAAGTGGAACAAGGAAGGATTCTCTGGCCCAAAATGACAAGGTGTGTGAGTATTAACTTCAGTAATTATTATTCAGTATTATTATCCAGTATTAACTTCAAATCTAAGATAATCCCACACTTTCTCTGTGACCAAGTGAGAAAAATGAAAGCTGGTTGGAAATTATGAAGCTTGTTGCTAAAAATGGATTATTTTACCTTCTCTTCCGTTCCTCTAGGTAACTCCATTTGCTGCTGACTGTGACCAAGATGAATGCACCTGCCGGGACCCTAAGGCAGAAGAAAATCAGTAACTGTGGAACTGGGCTCCTCCCTCCTCTGCCCTGGAGGCAGTGAGAGAAAAGCTTCTGTGGAAGGAGGAGACAAAGGGTGAAGAAAGAAGAAAGGTCATGAAATGCAGGAAATAAAGAGCATGAAGGATCTTTTCAGAAATGCAAGAGTATATTTATAGGTGCCAACAACTGCATCCAGTAGCTCAAATAGGGAAGAATTATAGGCAAAAGCTTCTTTGATGTGGCAGTCGATTAACAGAGGAAGGAGAGATATGATAGATAAACAAGGACTCTCCATCCCACCTGTATTCTACCCAACCGCATCCTCAACTCTTGGGCTACTCCCCACTCTGTACCTTGTCAACTACTCAGCCTCATCCAATGTGTAAATCATTACCAAAATGCTAGAAGAGAAGTTGCCAGGGTCATTCTGTTAATAACCATTTCAAAGGAATTGTCATCTTTCAGGGCTTGTCTACTCTAATCTGGCCCTCCTCCTTTCTTTTATGTAGCCTCTCTTAAATAATGAGGTTAGTTATTAATTCTTTATAAGTATTTAAACATAATTATATAAATATATTATATATTATATTTTTTGCTGTTTACTAAGCTAAAAATTATCCATTGTTCCACACATGCTGCTGTGAAGTTCATGTCCAAAATGGATGCTAAGGCTTTGAGAACAGAAAGCCACGTCCTTCTGCCATCTTTCTATGAAGATGGATTGGCAGATTGGACGGGAAATGGAGAAAGAGCCAGGAGGAGAGGAGGTGGAATTCTGGGTGCTAACATGTCTGCCAACTATCTTTATGACTTGGTGGGACCAGGACCACTTGAAGGAGATGGCAGTTGGAATGATAATATCAAGAAACACAGAAAGTTTGGTGTTAGTGCCCATAGCTAATGGGTCCAGAAGAACGAGACAGTGATTTTTACATATCTATCAAAAGAACTCATGAACTTCTCCCTACTTCTCAGTACTCTCCGCTAGAGTTAGTGAGACCCAGTATTTCTTCCACTCCCTACGTGCCTATCCCGAACACTGCTGTCAGCCCCCCAAGTCATTCAACAAGCTTGTGTGAGGATTCATCCTCTGAGTACCTGGATCACGGGAGCTAACACATTCTTCGCAGTTGGCCGGGGTCTCATTGTCAGACGTTCCCATGCCTGTCCATCCATCATGACCACCTGGCCAGTTGTTTGTTTTCTGGGGAATCTTGTTATGGAAATGACACAGGAGAGAGGTGAGAAGAGATGAAAGAACAAGCAGGATGGAGGAGACAAAAGAAGTCACAGAGGAATAGGGGTTTGGGGCTGAGAAAGAGGATGGCATGAACGCAGGGGTTTCACGTCCAAGTCTCCAAGGAAGACCAAAGAGGATTCTTTGAACAATGCAGTCTGAGATGAATTCTACGCAAGAGCAATGTATGCATCTGACCCAGAGATTTTAGTTTAGGTAAGCTGTGGAAACACACGGAGCAAGGGTGACACTCTGTGGGGAGAAAGAAGAATTTCAACTGCTTAGGATCCATCTTATTCAGGAAATGGACTGCATATGAAGTGACCGCATTAACCCCTCCTCTGTTCGCATCCTAGGCTAATTTTTATTTTTTGCATTTGGTCTTATTGTAGTTTTTTTGTAAGTTTCTGGATTAGGCCCTGGGTGAAAAAGAAAGGATCTAATTTTTTTTTTGACACCTTGTCTTATCACCTTAGGAAGGGCCAACGAGCCTCATTCCTTCAAAGTTAATTCTCCAATTGAAAACAGAGCAGGACAAACTTAGAGCTCAACTGTGGACTGCCCATGTCATGTTCCCTTTGCTCTGACTAGTTTTTATACTCTTCCCTTCAACATGGAGGCAAGAAGGAAAATAAAATGTTCTTCATTACCAACAAAATAGTACCCACACTATTATGTAGGAAAAAAACATTATTCTAGAATTGAGTTACAAACATATAGTTCATACAGCTTTTTATCTGTGCTTGGAATGAGGAGAGCAAACTCACAGGCAAGGGCAGAGAAGAGTTTGCCCATTTGAAATTTCTTGCCCTCTATATTTCTGGCCATAGGGGAGAAGAAAGAAATATTTATTTATGGGATCCTAATAGGACTTAAAATGGAAAGGACAGTGGAAAAGTTTAGATTCTCTATTTAAAAAACAAAAATTAAAAAAAAAACACATTGTAAAATTGTTTGCTTGGGGAACAAATCCAAATTCCTGGGCCCATGTCAAGCTCTGCCTTGGGCAATCCTGCTTCCAACTGAGGGAGAAGAGCTATCCTCAGCATTGCCCAGCTCAGAAGGCTGCAGGCTCCACAAGAACATGGAACCGGTGGTTGGTGCCTGTGTGTGTCTCTGTCCAGTCTCTCCGTAAGAATAATAATGAGCACACACCTGAGTCATACTTCATGTAAAAATGTTTTTCACTCTATTAACAACACGTGCAGTTCACAACTGCCTGGGAAAAGGCGAGAGGACAGTTCTTGTGTGGGGAAAGCCCACCAGGCTGAGAGCCACCCAGCCATAGTCAGCTACGGAGATCCAAAGGTGGCACGCTCTTCCAGTCCTTGTCCACAAGTCCTAGTGTTGTGAGGAACTCAAGTCACTCACAGAGTCAAAGGATTCAGACACTGTGGTCACAGATTCCAGCGGCAGCAGACATACTTGTTCCATGTGCTGATCTGCACTTTCCTGCTCTTACCCACTCATGGAGCCAGTGAGGGCCTTTCCCAGAGGCTCTTCTGTCCGCCTCTTCGTTCCCAACCACTCTGTCTCTTCTTCTTTCTAGTAAGTATGGGCTCTGGTGTTCATATTGCCTGGGTGTGGCTGACTCTACTGACTGGCGTGACAGCCTCCAAAGACACACAGAAGAGAGGTCTCAGAGAGGGGAATGGGTGGATCCTGGCAAAAGAAGAAAGAAGTAAAAAGCTACTTTTTGGTTTTCTCCTTCCCTCTCCTCCATTAAAAAGCATTGGACTTGGCACTTCTGTTCTGTGTGATCACTATTGAGTGTGTCAGTTAGCACCCAAGGGGATAGTTTGATTGAAAATATAGTGAAAGGAGCTGATCTACTGTATTGTAACGTAAAACAGCTATAGCCAGTTATTTTGTAAGATTATAAGATGTTCATTAAAAAAATCAGCACACAAAATATGAAGTGTCTTTGGCGTCTTACTCTGTGTTTAAATCATTCCATCACATTTGAATCACTGCATCGGTTTGTGCCAGGTCCAGACATTAGTTGTTGGTCGGCTGGTTAACTGATCATTCTCTTCAGCTATTTGAAGACTAGTTATTGAGTAAAAAAAGATTAACATGAAAATTTATGAAAAGAGCTGACATATGAAAAACAAGAGTGTGCAATAGTAATGTCGGGCGCCTCATGAGTGAAGTGATATACTAGAATGACTTGTAGGTCAGAGGAAACAAGCATCCCTCTCCCCCAGAAGACAGTCAGCAAAGGGTGTGTCTGAAATGGGGGCCAGAGAAAGCAAAGAACAAGGTTGAAGATAAGGGAGATAGGAATGGGAAAGACTGAACATTAGTGGACATCAGTGAAGCATTCAGCTTAGCCAGAAGGTGAAAGTAGCCTAATGTATGTTGACTATTTGGTAAACACAGTCTTACTAAATTCTCACAAAGGAAGTTGTTCTTGCCCAAGTTGTGTGTGCTCATTTCACAGATGAGAGCACCAAGCACCATTCTGGGGAAGAAAGTTGTGCCAGGTCATACAACTCAGCTAGGTTCACACCTGTTCTATGGGACACTAGGGTGAAAGAAGGAAAATAAAAAAAAACCATGATTAATAAGAAGGGGAGAGGGAGAGAGAAACATCCAAATGATACCTCTGCAGGCTATAACCAACCATACTTATCACTGATAGAAAAAAACAGAAGGCGCAGACCTTTACAGGAAGAGTATATATTTGCTTTATCTATAAATTTGGTTTCAGGACCAGATACTTAGTTGGAAATATCATACAAAGCAGTGTTCAGCTCCTGGAAGGATCCTGCAGCTGGGATCAGCTCACCAAGGTGTCTGGTTTGCCAGGCACTACCTGGCTGCTTGAAGGGCTGGATGGGTATTTCACTCAGCTCATCAATCAGTCACTTGGGAAGTCTTGCAAAGTAGGTGAAAGTACAAGCTTGTAAGTTGAGGGAGAGGTTTATGGGAAGAAATAAACATTTTCATGGTTAAAGAGATTATTAGCTGAAATTTTTTGTGATGGTTACCAAGTACCTTCATATGTTTTATGGCTACCCATAGCTGAGCAGAGCAAGAAAAGGTTTTTTTTTTCTGTTTCACAGATGAAGAAAATGGGTGTCAGGCAGGTTATTGAAAAATGTAAGTTCCTATATTGAAGTATAGGTTGGGATTGGAATCCAAATTTTCTGCTTTCAAATGAGATGTGTTTTCTATCAAACCATATTTAGCCCACTAGAGCCAAGAGTAAATACAACCCTGGTTGCAATGGAGAAGTTTAATACTGTTTTACCTATTTGTTTTAAGGTAGTTATTGCCTTCCTTGTGGCTTTTTAAGTAGCTGAGTCTGTTTCCTCTCCTGCCTATTGTCCATAGCAAATTGTAGGAAGACTGAAATCAAACTTTTTAAAGCACTCTTCCAGGCCTCTCTCCTTATGCCAGGCCCTGAGTATAAGCAGATGCCCTTGGCCATGCCAGCTAGGACAGCTGAACAGAAACACCTGGCAAAGCTGCCTTCTTCTTAATAGCTTCCCCAGGGAGAGTCCTGGACAGAAACTCTGGACTTCTGGTTTCCATTGACTGACAAATTTAAATGACACAATGAGTCATGCGTGAGCTAGGAAACATGCTACTCCTAGATTCAGGCCTTGCAGGTGAGGAGGAGCTAGCTGGATAGGAAAGAAGATTTACATTTAGAAAGAGCTCCCATGCACCTCTGAAGCTTTGGCTCATCTTTTTTTGTCACCCCAAGATTACTGACTTGGGGCTCCTGAGTTTTTGGCTTTCCAGTGGTAGGCCCATGATTATCTACGCCCATAAAAGTTCCACGTGCTTGTTGGTCATTCATCCTGGAAAAAGGCAAGGCTAATTTAGAGAATAGATGGTTATTATCAAGGGTGCTTCAGTCTGAACCTCTCTCGGCCTGAATGCACATTTCCGGGCAGAATCTAGTGTGGTGGTCAGCGCACTGAGGTCTATGTGATTTGCTACAATTTAACTCTTTGCTGGTGATCTTTTTTTTTTTTTAATCTTGCCACTGGATCTTTAGGTCACATTGCTAAGTGTTTATAAGAACTGCTCTAACAATGGCAGAGTACATTCTTGGAAGAAACCTACCAGTCTAATCTGGTTAACATTTCAAATGAATATAATAAAAACATTTCTAAACTCTGAAAGATAGTTCAGAGTAACAGCAATATTTCTGAGTAACTGCGATCTGCTAATGTTTTTCAAATCAAATTTTCTTCTAAGGATAATTTAATATAGCCAAGCTTCCTTT